TGAGTGAGCGTGACCTCTCATCGCCTGTGCAGCAGCCTGCCACGGGGATCCGAAGGCTTCGCAATCGTTAAGCAAATTTTAAGTTGCATCTAAATACTCGCCTTTTTTAAAACGTGCTTTTACTGAAGATTATTTTATAGTGTTCATTTGTTTTTTAATAGGCCTTCGACAGCAATTTATTATAATGCGATTTAGTTTTGTATGGAAAATGAGTTTATTCTTCTTGCGATTTGGTCCTTTAAAATGCTTATTAAAAATATCTTTGAATGGCATCATTTGCACGAAATAGTGCTATTGAAAAAAAGACTCGATTGATGGACTGATGACATCTACACATTTTGATATAGAAGACAATTATCCACGCACGTGCTACGTGTATGCAGGGGTAGCATTTCCTCACTCGACATTTTTTTGGAACGCTAAACAAGGATGCCTCGGAGTGGAGATGCTCGGCGTAAGGCACGAGCACGAGAGTGCAAGGCACGTCTCGACATCGTCATCCCGCATTAGCGTCGCCTATACTGCGAAGTGCTCTCCCGAAGGACAGTCCTTATGGTAAACCTAAGCACTGTTTACGCGTGTTGCTTTTGCACACTATCGCCGCACGTACACACACACACACACCACGGCACGTACACACACACACACTACTGCACACACACACACACCACCGCACGTACACACACACCACCACACGTACACACACACACCACCGCACCTACACACACACACCACCGCATGTACACACACACCACCACACGTACACACACACACACCACTGCACGTACACACACTCACACCACCACACCCACACCACGACACGTACACACACATACACCACCGCACGTACACACACACCACCGCACGTACACACACACACCACTGCACGTACACACACACACCACCGCACGTACACACACACCACTGCACGTACACACACACACACACCACCACATGTACACAACCCACCACACGTACACACACACAGCACCGCACATACACACACATACACCACCGCACACACACGCCACTGCACGTACACACACACCACACGTACATACACACACCACCGCACGTACACAAAGATAAAGATCCCCCGTATAGCCTGAACAGACTGTAGGGGCAAGTGCTGTTAGCGAGCACCTATGAAGGCCGGAACGGTACACGAGGTACTCATTTAAGGCTGAGTCGACCTAGGGGAGGCCCAGGACCGGTTCAGATAATCGTCACTGGTGTTAGCCGTGAGCGGGAATCGAACCTGGGTCGCCAGGTTCATAGCGCAGCGCGCTAACCGCTACACTACCGCTCCCCAGACACGTACACACACACCACCGCACGTACACACACCACCGCACGTACACACACACACAACATAAGGCGAGACGGAGGCTGCTTCTCCCTAACAAACCCCGCCACGGTGTCTCGGATCGTGTCCGTCTGCAGCGAAGCCCCCCAGCGTCCAGGCGCGCACGCGACACGAGCACGTCACGGGAGATATTTCGCACTTTGAAATCTCGAATATTGAGAACTCGTTTCTTTTAGGACCGCTTTTGTTGTTTTCCTTCTGTTTGTTGTCCTCCCCCCCCCCCTCATCCCAGCTCCGCACCTCCGGCTCCGTACGGTGCGAAAGAAGTCCACAACGTGCCACGCACACAAAGTTAGACCTGCCGCTCGTGACAACGCACGGCCCCCCCACGGCTGCCGTTTGCATCGAACGAGCCGGAGTGGGAACGTCCGCCACGGAGATGGAGCGATGGGATCGGCTCGCTTGTAGACAGCTCAGGCGCAAGACGAATCAAGCTCACATCGCGAGACTGCGAGATGTGGCAACGGCGTGGGGGGAGGGAGGGGGGAGGGATGATTCATCCAGCAGTGGAGTAACCGTGGATACTGCTGTTGCTGCTGCTGCTCTCTACACAGTGATCGTTACAGAGTTGCGCTGTAAGTTGGTTCGTGAGCGACGTGGGGCTGAGTGGAGGGGAGTCGGAAGGCGTGTGTGTACGTGTGTGTGCGTAGTGTGTGTAGTGTGTGTGTGTACGTGTGTCTAGTATGTGTGTGTATGTGTGTGTGTAGTGTGTGTGTCGTGTGTGTGCGTGTGTAGTGTGTGTGTACGTGTGTGTGCGTGTGTGTAGTGTGAGCGTGTGTGTAGTGTGTGTCTGTACGTGTAAGTGTGTGTGCGTGTGTAGTGCGTGTGCGTGTGGTGTGTAGTGTGTGTGTGCGTGTGTGTAGTGTGTGTGTGCGTGTGTGCAGTGTGTGTGTGGTGTGTGCAGTGTGTGTGTGGTGTGTGCAGTGTGTGTGTGGTGTGTGCAGTGTGTGTGCGTGTGTGTAGTGTGTGTAGTGTGCGCGTGTGTGTCGTGTGTGTACGTGTGTGTGTGTGCGTGTGTGTAGTGCGTGTAGTGTGTGTGCGTGTGTGTGTACGTCTGTGTGTGTACGTGTGTGTGTATGTGTGTAGTGTGTGTGGTGTGTGTGGTGTGTGTGTGTACGTGTGTGTGGTGTGTGTGGTGTGTGTGTGTACGTTGAACATTGTGGGGAGCGGTAGTGTAGTGGTCAGTGCGCTGCGCTACGAACCCGCAGACCCAAGTTCGATTCCAGCTCACGGCCAACACCAGGTGACGATTTTCTGAACCTGTCCTGGGCCTCCCCTAGGTCGACTCAGCCTCGAAATTAGTACCTGCTGCGGTGTGTAAACATCGCCACTGGGGAGACAAAGGCGGCCGGGCGTGGTGCAAGCCACCCACCCCCTCGTGTGCCGCGCCGGCCTTCATAGGTGCTCGCTAACAGAACTTGCCCCAACAGTCTGCTAAGGCTATACGGGGGATCTTTGTCTTTGTGTGTTGAACTTCTTTCGCACCGAACGTAGCCAACCCGTGCGAATCGGAGGTGCGGTGGAAGGACGACACAAAACGAAACAACCAAAAGCAGCTTCTAAAGGAGCACTCGATCTGTTTGAGCTTGCATAGACTCCGCGAGATACAGATATGACACGAGCAGGCCACTAACCAATATGTCACCTGTGTGAGTATATTTCACCTGTACGGGTATATGTCATCTGTACGAGTGGCTGTCAGAGTTTTAACGTTTACCGATCGCAGTCTGCCATTGAGGCATTACGCACAACGCAGCCTGCAATACATCATGCCCGCTGCGTGCTGCATGCATGTTACATGAGTGGGGAAATTCCCACTTCGAAAACAAGTGGCGATTACAGTACAACCATCGTTGCGTTGATGGATATTCACTCCGCGCCCGATTTGAGCAAGAACGTGTGGCTTACGGTAACATGCCAACGACATGCGTGTGGGCTCGTCAGTATCACGATTCGCAGCCACATGTCAACATGCGCGTTGCGCGAATTCTCCGGGAGATCGTGGTGGGTGTTAGGGGGGGGGGGCAGACAAGGCATCGACGCGTAACCCCCCCCCCCACTCCTCCTCCTCCCACGATAGGGTTACTCGATATGCGGAGTGGCATCGTGAAAACGCCGACGCGTCCCCTGTAACGCTGCCGTCACGCGCGCGTGCCGAACTTCTTTCGCGCCGTACGTACGCCGGTCGTGCTAATCGGAGGTTCGGGGGAAGGACCTACCGAACCAATCCATAAATATCGTTTCTCGAGCAACGAGTTTCTTCCGTCGAGATTGAAAGAGCGCGTCGCATCTCCCAGTTGGCTTCCTGAATATCGGAAGGGAAGAGGCGATCCGGACGGGACGCAGAAGCTTCATCTGAAAGCGGCGACGCGATGCGGTGACCGCCGGATTTGTTCGACGTTTGAACACGCGCCTCGACCGATGATCCCCTCCCTCTAGCGAATAGGAGCACAAGACGAAGGCGCTCTTGACGATCAGGGACTTGTACAACCAAGCAGATCCTCGGGTTATTGAAGCGTGATGACGATACGCTCGTCGGCTTATCTGATACCGCAAGCAGTAATAATGGTCGTCACGGTACACGGCTCCTTGTCAATCCACTGCTGGATGAATGTCTCCTCCGCCGCGTCGGGGGGGGAGTTTCATCCATACTTCACCACTCTGGCGCAGTGCGAGTAGATATCAAATAGTCGGGGGGGCGGGGGGGGGGGGGCTGGGAGCGGCGTGATGAACTCGGGAGAAGTTCTGACATCGGTCGGCCACTGAAGTTAACCCTTGCCGATAATCGATCTCGTTGCCCGGAATCGAACTCAGGCTCGCAGGAGTGTTGCGGTGCAGAGCGCGCTACCCACCGCCCTCCCTATCTAATAGACCAACTTTGAGTTACACATTCAACGAACGGCTCTCTCTACACATCTCCCGGCAGGTAAGAGGTCCCCCCGTGTGTACACATGTTTATACGTATACTTGTATATATATGTGTGTGTGTGTAATATCCTAATAGGTACACGATAGCAGCTATTGCTCCCAACAGTCTGTGTAAGGCTGTGGGGGAATGTTTTGCCTCTGTGTGTATGCGTGTGCCTAATGTGGATAAACTGACGCGACACGCTCTCGAGAAGAGACGGAGCTGACGCGGCACTAGAGGACGTGGAGCTGAGTGGACTTGCCGTTGACCGGTACCAGCGGTGTCAAGATCGGCCTCTGTGGAGGAGGAGGCTCGTGAAGGACGCTGCTGCTACTACTGGGCATTTGGAGGCAGTCGCCCTCCAGCAATAACGGAGGGCAGAGGAGCGAAGCTCACAACAACGAGCGCAGCGCGGACGTTTAAAACGCTGCAGGTTGTCACAGTCGAGGGCACAGGTAGTGCATCGGCCACTCATCTCAGCCAGTCTACCCATGGCACCCTGGGTCCGTTCCGTGACGCCAGTAAGCGTTCGACACTTCAAGTGGCTTTAGAGCGCACGTAGCCTGGCACAAGCGCCGTTAGCGACGTCACCGCCACTTAAGCGGCGAACTGCGGCTGCTGCTGTTGCTGATGTTACTGCTGCTGCTGCTGTTGCGAACGCGCGAATCGCGTGAACTCGACCGCGCGCGTTACGCACGCTGCCCGGACGCTCGCACTGCGCGTTACCTGCGTGCAGAATCGTGACGGAGCCGTCCCCGGCGCTCTTGAAGCACGACACGGCCGCCGAGACGCACGCCGCCCGCCGCTGCGCCACCACCAGCGGCTGGGACATGATCCTACCTCGGCGCGCCCCGTCTCTGCGCGGCGGGGCCCTGATCCGATCAGTCGGGGCCGAAACGCAATGGGAGGCAAGCGGCATCCAGACAGAGAGAGGGAGAGCGAGCGGGCGGGCGAGAGCGGGCTGAGCGACCAACGCCACGGAAGCGCTGAGACTGAGAGACGCGGTGGGTAGTGTTGCCCAGCCATTATCAGCCAAGCGTCGAACCCCCCCCCCCCCCACGCCTATTCTCGACCCCTCCCGCTCTACACACCCCGCCCTTCGCCACCTCCCCCCCCCCCTCCTCTCCTCCACCGGCTCCTCCCGCCCCCACGGTCTCACTGAACCCTCCCCCATCCACGGCAACCTCCCTGCCATCCTCCTCTCTCGCTCTCTCGCTCACTCCCTGCGCTCATTGCGCCGTGTAAACTCCGACCCCCTTCGCCGCCCAAGCGGGCGTCACTGCCCGTGCGTGACCCCCCCCTCCCCCGCAGCCCCGCCCCCCTTCCCTCCCCTCCAAACCCACCCATCAACCCTCCCACAAACCACCACCACCACCCACTCACCCCCGCCACCGCAGCCGCACGATCATTTTCATTGTACGTTCTGCGGTTCCAACAATACCCGCAATACGCTCCGCGGTCGATCCGCTGCTGGATGAAGGCCGGCAACCCCGAGCCGCCGTCGCCTTCTAACGATCGCGCGCTTTCAGATGCGCTTCTGCGGCCGTCTGGAACGCTCTTCCTGCCGATATTAGGAAGCCGCTGGAACAATGGACTTTTAAAATAATCCAGATTGAAAACGAATTTCTTTCGAACTGCTTTTTTGCGTGTGTTAGTTTGTTGTCCTTACCCCTCACCCCGCGCCCCCGCACCTCCGATTAGCACGTATGGTGCGAAAGAAGTTCAACGCGCGAAAAGTGTGAGAGTTTTATTTTAGCCGGTTGTTGCGTCGTCGACGATTTGACTTCGCGCAGCGAGCGGCCTTCCCTCCCCGCGTGCAGCTGCGTCGCGAAATCACCTCGCAGCGTCTGATTGCGTAAAATAGGCGCTGCTGGGAATCTGTTATAAATCAGAGTTCTTTACGCGCGAACAACTTGGATCTTTTATTTAAAAAAAAATTACAAATAAAAACCGTTGCAGAAATTTAACGGCGTTGAATAAACATCATTGCTTAACGGAACAGAATTGCGTGCTGAGACATTTCTGAAGGAGTAAGTTAAATAGGCTCCTCTCAATTACCCGGCACAGATACATACATTGCTCGTGGCGAGATGTTAACTCCCTCGCCTGATATGCAGGAGGTCATGGCTTCGATCCCTACCCCGATGATGCCTGCTGTATATTTGGAGCTTGCATGTTCTCTCTCTCTCTCCTCGTGGTCGCGTCGATTTTTCTCCGGGTCCTCCACTGTTACCCACCCCTCCCCCCCCCACATTTAGAATAAACTTTGCGCGTTTAGAAGATTTGGCCGCTGTAAATCTACGCACGATCCTGCCATGTAATTCGTCACCTATCGAATTGCACAATGATTTCATCGCTCCACCTTTTTCGTTGGACGTCCTATTCGGTTGCCACCCCATTCATCATTCTGGACCATCGGTCACCATCACATCGAGCGACGCGTCCGGCCCAAATGCCCCACTTATTTTTTTTACATTTATTTTATGAATGGGTTGAGTTGATTGCAAATTGCTCGGTGGGAGGCACATTTAGACGGTGAGGGAGTGAGCGCATTGACAGCCCCCGTATAACGGAGTACGGGGTCTCTCTCCTTCGCTCTATGCGGTAGTAGATGCGTTCCAAAAAAAGGGGCGCCCAAAGTGAGGCCGCACATGAAGACAGCTGTCTGCCGAGCATGTCTGTATGTTGAACTTCGTTCGCACCGTACGTAGCCAACCGTGCCAATCGCAGCCCATACAGTACAACAACAGTGCTCACACACACACCGTTGTCCCACGTTCGACCGCGTAGCCGCGTGTAGAGTGAATTCAACCCGCAAAGTGTGCCCGCGTGTTGGGTAGAAACAGTTCAGACGCACGCACAGCGCGGCAACCGCACAAAGCGAACCCCTGCAGTGTTGTCACGCGGACGCAGCTCCGCCACGAGCAGCTATTGACAGAGTCGCCGACGAACGAAGCCACCGATCCCATCGCACGCATGAATGCGCACGCGTTCGGTATGTGCTTCGTGACACGCGGATGCACGCGAGCAGGCGAGCGAACGAACGTGGGAAGCCCATTTGCGGATGCGCATTTTGTGTTTGTGAACATGTAAAATACTTACATTGATGATGATGATGATGATAATAATAAAAAGCAGTGTCTTTTAAACGTGAGGTTGTGTTTTGTCTTTTTATGATACTGGTCGTCGCGTGGATGATATTATCCGTGACGGTACAACACAGCGCTCGTGTTATACGATATTGTGTTTGCCCATGCTGACATGTCGCCCTGTGGTTTCGAGGGTGAGCTCTTACCAATAGCATCTGTCAAACGTAGACAATGGCCAGTGTTTGTTTCAATACACAGAGAGCGCGACTGCCACTCGATTCCCCGCTCACGGCCAACACCAGCGAGGATTGTCTGAACCGGTCCGGGGCATCTCCTATAGGCCGGCTCAGCCTCACGTGGTTACCCGGCGCGGTGCGCAAACGTCGCGACTGGGGGAGACAAAGGCGGTCGGGCGTGGTTGCTGCCTACCCGCCCCCCCCCCCCTCGTGTGCCGTGCCGGCCTGGTTAACGCACGCCTGGCAAAGCAGGTAGCCCGGACACGTCTTGATTTCTAAGCCGCCCATTGAGCTGCCCCGTCGATTGTGTGGCTAAAACGTCGGTCCCCGCGTGTGATGCTCAACCGTCTTCGCGATTCATCCCGAAACGCGCGAGAGCGAGGAAGGCAGAGGCCGCGAGGCGGAGCGAACACACCTCGAGGCATAAACGATGTTCCAGGGCAGATCGAGCCTTGTATAGCCATCGTCACCACCACCACCACCATCGTCATCATCGTCATCATCATTTTATATCTCAAAATGTCTTGAGAGATGACCATAGATTCACATCGGGGTGGATTGTTACAATCCCAGAGACGTGGGGGATTGTTGTGCGTGTGTTCGCTGAACTTCTTTCGCACCGTACGTAGCCTACTGTGCTAATCGGAGGTGCGGGGCTTGATGGAGGAGGGGGGGGGGGCTTCATCGAGCAGTGGACAGATCTTGACTCTTATGTTGCTGCTGGCAATGAGATTACCGGAATAGATTGAGTTTAAACATGATAAACTTCATGTTAGACATATCCATTATTATTATTATTATAGTATGGGGGGTAGAGGGGAGGTGTTTGACCATACTTCACCACTCTGGTCAGGGCGCATTGCATGTATAATTGTAACAGGTGCTTTTAGGAAACTCGATTTTTAAATAATGCGTTCTTAAAGAACGCGGCGGAGATATTATTGTGAATTAGATGTGTATTTATCAGTGATGCGCAAACACAAAAAACAACAACTTAACAGCATTCGTCAATAACACTGCTGCCCTAAAAGGGTAAACCACGCACAATGGGCACCGTTTCAGGCATTGGCCCATGTCGTACACGAGAAAGGGTCATTGCCCGAAACGTCGCCTATTGCCCATGTTCTTCTACGATTCAGGCGGTGTTATTGACAATAGAGAGCGCATTTTCGATTGTTTTAAACAACGCAGACCACAACGGAGCGACCGACGCATGCGCTCAACGTACGGAACGCGATTGAACGTGGGAGCATTTGGGTAAGAGCGAACATGAATCACTTTTTTTGTTATGTACATAGCATCATCATTATTATTATTTATGGCGATCGTATTTGCACCGGTTCATACCGAGGTAAGTAACCGGTGTACGATGGCATTAAATTGATCGAGACAATATTTAACACCGAAGCCGTTTAATCCTCAGCGGTGTCGGATGCTAGCGGTGATATTCAACTTGACGTTCGTGGCTCTCGTGTTATTGATACAACATTTGTCGCGTGAGCAAAAGGTTTAATGACAAATAAATAAAGCCATCAATGGCTTGCCTTTCGTCAAATAGAGAACTTCACCCGCAATGTAATTTAAAGATATGTTTGTATAAGAATACTAATTAAAGACAGGAATTAATCGAAACGGGAAGGAGCGACGGTGCAGTGGTGAGCGCAACTTTGCTCTCTGTACACCGGAGTTGGAGTGCATCACTCTGAGTAAAATGTTGTCGCCTGTATAGAACATTAACAACAACAACAACGGCAACAACGGGGAACACTTCTCTGTCGACCCACTGATGCGCGACTGCCTCCCTCTGCCGTTGTCAGTCACGGAGGGTTTGTGGCCACCACCACTTCGCCACGGCCGACGCAGCGCGCGTTCGCTGACAGTGCGGCGGGGGTGTTGAACAATGGGACAACAATGGGAGTGTTTACAATGTGAGTGTTGTACAATGGGAGTGTTGTACAATGGGAGTGTTGTACAATGGGAGTGTTGTACAATGGGAGTGTTGAACAATGGGATAACAATGGGAGTGTTGTACAATGGGAGTGTTGTACAATGGGAGTGTTGCACAATGGGAGTGTTGTACAATATGGGAGTTATGGGAGCCTTGACCGGGTTCACAGTGGCAGTGCGCTCACCACTGCACCACCGCCACACGCATCTGCATGTGCGTTGTGTATCTATGTTGAACTTCTTTCGCACCGTACGTGTCCAACCGTGCTGAGGAGGGGGGGGGGGTGCCATTAGTGTGAGAGCGAATATCCTGACAGTGCCACTGAGTTAGAGAGTTAAAGTTGGTTTCACTCCTCGCGGGATAAAAAAAAAAATCAACGTGCGTGAATCAGCAAAGTTTGCCATCTGCTATTTTGAGGACGATAAAGATCCCGATTGTCAATACAAAATGTATCACGTACAATGCATCGCAGCTACATTTGTGACTTAGCTCAACTGATAACATGTGTCTGTCGATGAAAGCCAGCAAATTACATAGATAAAGTACTACATATACTGTACGTAGTCTTATATATATACACAACGATTTAGGTGAACTGCATCTAGCCCTGTAAAATTCAGACTCTTTTGAAAATATCTTTATATATATTTTTGAACCTTAGAAAATTAAAAACTCTCATTTGTTGCATGCTCAGTATTGCACAGAGCTAA